ACCGAAAAAACCCTTTGGTTCGAATTTCAAAAAGAAAAAATAATGTTGTTAAATGGCATTTTTGGTTTGTTTCTTGTAAATTTTTAATATTATCTTTGGGTTTACAAAGTCAAGATTGTCTTCTGTTCTATTACATAATAAGATCTTTCATCCGAAGAGAGATTCTCTCATCAAACAAATTCAGTAAGAAAGAACGATGGAGAAGCCAAAGTTCAAGACTGTCCAAGAAGTCATTGCCGACGGCGAAGGATTACCGGAAAGATATCTCCACACACCCACCGGCGACGACGACGACGGCGAAGGTCAACAACCTCTTAACGCTTCTGTACCAGAGATGGATATTCCGGCCATAGATCTAACTCTTCTCCTCTCTTCTTCCCAAGACGGTCGAGAAGAGTTGAGTAAACTTCACTCAGCACTCTCTACATGGGGCGTTGTTCAGGTTTGACCATCTTTGTTATGATGATCTGAGTCATGAATCTCTCTGTAGATGTTGATTTCTTTGTTGAATAAATCAGGTGATGAATCATGGAATCACTGAAGCGTTTCTTGACAAGATTTACGAGCTTACCAAGCAGTTCTTCGCGCTTCCGACCGAAGAGAAACAAAAGTACGCGAGAGAGATTGGTAGTATCCAAGGATATGGAAACGATATGATTTTGTCTGATGATCAAGTTCTTGATTGGATCGACCGTTTGTATCTCACTACTTACCCTGAAGATCAACGAAAGCTTAAATTCTGGCCTGAAACCCCAACTGAGTTCAGGTAAAAGAAGAAAACTCAAACATTCTTGGTTCATTGACTTTGGTGAGTTCTTGACAATAATTACTTGTTCAGGGAGACTTTACATGAATATACTATGAAGCAACAGCTAGTGATTGAGAAGTTCTTTAAGGCAATGGCTACATCTTTGGAATTGGAAGAGAATTGCTTTCTAGAAATGTATGGAGAAAATGCTACAATGGATACAAGATTCAACATGTATCCTCCATGTCCGAGGCCAGATAAGGTTCTTGGTGTTAAACCGCACGCTGATGGTTCGGCTTTCACTCTTCTCTTACCTGACAAAGATGTCGAAGGGCTTCAGTTTCTCAAAGATGGGAAGTGGTATAAAGCTCCAATCGTCCCTGATACAATACTGATCAATGTAGGAGATCAAATCGAGGTAATCATCAATCATGCATTTTGAGTTTTTTTTTTCAAGAATTGATTGGTGAAGATTTGAGATTATAATCATCTTTGGCGCGTTGTTCAGATAATGAGCAATGGAATATACAAGAGCCCGGTTCATAGAGTGGTGACTAACAGAGAAAAGGAAAGGATATCTGTTGCAACGTTTTGTCTTCCGGGTTCAGACAAAGAGATTCAACCTGTAGATAGGCTTGTGACTGATGCAACGCCAAGATTATATAAATCAGTTAAGAAGTATGTGGACCTCTACTTTGATTACTATCAAAAGGGTCGAAGACCGATCGAAGCTGCATTGATCTGAAAATACTTTGTAAGTTGTCTGTTTTGGTTATCACAAATGAATCTGTTTCTTTTGTTACTTGATCCTTGAAGAGATTACTGGTGTTTTGTTTGTTGGAATGTGAGGCTGCATTGTGTTGGGTTGTAACTCTGAGAAGATTATGAGGTTCTGAATTTCATCTTCCCATAACACATTAATCCTTGAATGAGAGTGTCATTTAGGTGTGGTTACGGTTTGAGTGTGAGACTGATGTGGCTTGAGAGAAGTGAAACTAATTAGAAATTCTGGAATGGTAACAGATTTGGAAACAATGTGATTATCTTTATATTTTTGAATGATCAAATAATTTGTAAACGATATATCC